TTTATCAATTTACTACCATAGTCTATATTTAAAACATCAAATTATCAATTCTAATTCTTAATCTCTCACATCCCTTATTTTATCACCAATTTCATTTATTTCTTCTTCCACTATGCAATAGTTATCCTAATAACAATAAAATATTAATCAGCCCTGTACATATGTAACCCCAGAATCAATCCATCTCTTTAAAATAACAAAATAATATTAAACCTTAATTCATTCAGATTCATCAAACAAAATTCAAATTTTCTCCAATTACTTAGCATGCCTTATCACATCTTTGTTGTCATAGAGAAAAGTCATCCTAGTAATTTAAAACACTCCATTAATTATTGGCAACATCCAATCTAAACAGTCATCAATTTTTCAATTCCAATACATAATGGTTTCCATTTTATTCCCGAACGTTACATAAATAGACAAATTCAGTGCATTCTTAATCTGTTTAAAATATCTATTCTAATAATCACGCTCCTATATACATATATATATAGGTCTTTGGTTGTTCAGGTTTTCTCCCGCGTAAAATTGGAAGTGTCTTGGCGACGTTTCAACGAAGTCCCATTCGTTATCTTCAGGCTGGTGTTTTCAGCTTCGTGCTTCGAGCAGCAATGTGTGGTCTTAGCTGTTTCTTCCTTTTAACTGCCAGTGGGGGTATGAACTGATTGGGTGGGAGCTTGGCTGTGTTCTGATTGGGTGGAGGTGTGTTCTGATTGGTTAGGGGCTTGGCTGTGCTCTGATTGGCTGGGGGAGTGTTCTGTTTGGTTGTGCTGGTCTGAGTGCTCCTGAGTGCTCAGGGGAGTTTTAAGATTTTGGGCTGCCTTGCTATTTTTTGGCTTCGCGTTCGTGGTCGTGCCTCATCTTCATGGAGGGTGTCAGTTTGCTTCATGTATGGATTGGGAGGGTTTAAAGTGGCTAATGATGCAGCTGTGGTCTAGCTTCTGGTTTGTGGTCGTGCCTCATCATTGGTGTGGCTTTGGGTTTGCTTTTTGCGTGGATGTGTGGTGGTGACATCCTGTGTGGTTTTTGTGAGTGTGGGTCTGGTATCATTTTTTGTGTTAGGGAGTCGTTTGTCAATAAGGGCGGTTTCCAACTGGCAGTTAAAAAAGGAAGAAACAGCTAAGACCACACATTGCTGCTCAAAGCACGAAGCTGAAAACACCAGCCTGAAGATGACGAATGGGACTTCGTCGAAACGTCGCCAAGACACTTCCAATTTTACGCGGGAGAAAACCCGAACAACCAAAGACCTATATATATATATATATATATATATATATATATATATATATATATATATATAAACATCTGTTTCTCTCTTCCTTAAAGTATCATTGCTTTGTAGTTTCAAATCTCAGTCTTTGCTTCTTCTGTTCCTCAAAGTTACAAATGAGTGATTTATAAGGTAGGATGAGTTCCTCTTTTATCTCTGTTAATTCCTCTTCCAGTATATCTTGGTTTGTAAAATAGTCAGATGTAGTCTGAGCATCCGTTTGAATGTTTGAAGTGAAATTTCTGGATCTTAGTTCTGTAATAGATTCTTTCAATGTAGCACAAATTTCTGCAGTGGCCTCATGTATCTTTTCCAATATAAAATTATAGTTTAATTGTGAATGAGGTTTCTCCATTTTAATAATAGTTAGAAAAAGTTTCTATTTTTTTTGTGTGGAGGCTGTATTCAATGAAAATTGGTCTATAATCAGGGGTTCTCAACCTTGGCAACTTTAAGACTTATGGACTTCAACTCCCAGAATTCCTCAGCCTGGTCTATATCCACCTCCACAATTCCCACAGCTCAGCTTGTCTTTTTTTAAGAAATAATTTGAAGGTCAAATCTGGTCTGGTTTCAAGAAGTAACCCAAAAGTGTAATATTAAATTTTCGCCACTAGATGTCCTCAGTAAGTTAAGAAAGCCTTTTCCAGAAGCTGTGTCTTGTTTAATGTCGGTCACAATGTATCACGGCCACAGTGTATTCTGTCTGCAGAGTCCTCCAAGAATAAAAAAAATTGCTTCAAAGAATACTCTGTGGGTATTGGTATCTATGTGTGTTGTTGGAATGTGACTTATCTTAATGGCAATCATCACAATCTCTTGATCAGTCCTGTACAAAGAACCCATTGCATTCCAAAAAAGTCACACCCACACCCCAAAAAATCACACCCATACCCACACCCACACCCCTACCCACAGAAGTAAACACATAAGATATACATCTGGAGCTGGGCTGGCAAGAAAAATCCCTTTCAGATTGAGGTCATCTTGCAAAACTCTTCCTCTGAGCATGTGCAGAGCATGCTGTTGCTCGAGCTTCATTGAGCTTTGCGGGGTGAAATCCCGATTATACAATCGATCCTGTGACTGGATGGAGATTTCTAAGTACAAGTTATCCTCAAATTGAGCCCCAAGTTTCCATTGCTAAACAAGATGGTTATGAAGTGTGTTTTGCCCCTTTTTACGACCTTTCTTACCACATTTGTTAAGTGAATCACTGCAGTTTTGAAGTGAATCTGGCTTCCCCCATTGACTTTACTTGTCAGAAAGTCGCTAAAGGGGATCACATGACCCCAGAACCCTGCAACCGTCATAAATACAAGCCAGTTGTCAAGTGTCCAAATTTTGATCACGTGCCCATGCGGATGCTGCAACTGTTGTAAGTGTGAAAAACAGGCATAAGTCACTTTTTTCAGTACTGTTGTAACTTTGGACAGTCACTAAACAAATGGTTATAAGTCGAGGACTACCTGTTCCTGTTTTGGGGTCTGTCATAACTTTGAATGATCGCTAAGTGACCAGTCGTAAGTCAAGGCTTACCTGTAAAGTGAGATGAGGAGTATTAACAATAGATTAAACTCAAGAGCAAACTAATCTATTGTCCTTCTGAGTAGGAAAAGATACTGCTCCAACTGCAGTGTTGATCTGGGGATCTACTCAACATCTATTAAACCAATCTGGGAAAAGTAATCTACTTCTAGAAAGATGTTCCTAAGCAAACCCTTCAAATCTACATCCAGGTCAGACATGTCCTCCTAGTTTTACTGTAATATCTTTTTTCATAAACTCTTCTCCTATTATTAAAAAAGAGGGCCATGTTTTGTGAAGTCTACACCAAAGCATAACTTTCTACCCCAGTGATTAAAATCTTGGATCCTTCTCCATTTGGAGAATCCATAACTCAAAAGATGCTTCCAGTAGAATACTTCCTTAGGAGATGCCCAACTGCATCTCAAGAACATCCAACTTTAGAAGTTCTACAGATCCATAGACCCTCTTCAAGTTGAAAAGCTCAGCAATCTGTCTAACTTGATAGTCCTCATCCAAAAAAGTTTGTCAGTTGGGGGAGTGTTGTAGGCCTGCTAAGAAATCTTCATGTTGACTGTCCAGGTTGGAGGTCCTGTGTCTGTGGCAATCAACTTCGTGGGATTAATAGAGGAAGAGGTATCTGGTTGATGGGTGGGCCAACAAAAGTCTTCTTAGGTTGATGATCTTCTACATAGCTCTTCCTTATTGAGTTTTAGAACCTCCTTCTTCTGAGCTAATGGTCATTTCCTTGAAACTTCCTGGAGAAGTTTCAGGATAGCTGATAGGGCGCCCCCAAAAATCAAGATGGTAGCCATGAAGATATGACTGATGCCCACTTTTTTTTAAAGCATATTGCAGAAACAATGCTCATTAAAAAACAAACAAACAGGAGAAGCTTTGATGCTATCTTTGTGGTGGCCACACATCTTGATTTTTGGGGCCACCTCATGAGGCTGCCACTGGATAGGATATCCAGGATATCCAATGAATTGTAATTCCACCTAAAGGGGAAATTGGGAAAGCCCTGAAGGTGTCCAGAAGCACTTTTGATGCAGATGTGGAGATCCATTGTGGAAGAATGTTCTTGTGGTAATAGAGGACATGTTCTTCTCTCCGTCTTCTTGGACAATTACATGGAAGTAAGATTCCTTCTGCAGCATCGCACATGGAAGGCCACGGAGCTGCCTTCTTTTATTCCTCTTTTGTTCCACTGTTCTGTCTTGTTATTTGGGGCAGTGGGCGTGGTTTTCTGCCCTACATGCAATTGGTTACTCTAGATGGACCAACGATGGACATTATTTCTTTCCATAGTGATAGTTATAGGTAAACAGCAGATGACTTACACAATATTTCTTGTGAAATGGAGAAGGGTAAAGAAATATCCATGAAATCCAAGAATAATTCCTTTCCCTTCCCTTCCCTTCCCTTCCTCCTTCCCTTCTCATTTTTTATTTATATCCCACCTTTATTATGTTTATAAACTCAAAGTGGTGAACATATTTTATAATCCTTCTTCCTTCTGTTTTTTTCCATCACAACAATCCTGTGAGGTGGTTTAAATTGAGAGAGGAATGGTCATCAAACCAACCTAAGGTGGGACTAGAACTCACTGTCTCCTGGTGATTGGCCCAAAGTCTCCCAGCCAGCTTTCATGGTTAAAGTGAGACTAGAACTCACCATCTCCTAGTGATTGACCCAAAGTCTCCCAGCCAGCTTTCATGGTTAAAATGAGACTAGAACTCACTGTCTCCTGGTGATTGGCCCAAAGTCTCCCAGCCAGCTTTCATGGTTAAAGAGGTTCTAGAACTCACTAACTCCCAGTTTCTAGCCTGGTGCTTTAATCAATAGACCCAACTTAATAGGCTGCTAATTTATTTTATATTATTTTTAATTCTTTTTTAAAAGACAGATTTGGTTTACAGCACTTTTAAAATCAATTTTCAGTAAATACGCTCTGTGATCAGCAAGCAGCAAAGCAATTAAAAAGAAATAAAATGCAAAAAAATGGGCACACAGTAGAATTTAAAAGCGAAAGAAGAGAAAACCTTGATATTTTTTTTTTGTTTAAAAGAGAATGAAGGGCAGAGCATTAGCAGCGTTCAATTTATAGTATTCTTCTGTAGGGTTGAGACAGCAACTGATAAAACACTCTATTTCTAGCAGTAGCTAATCTAAATATTTCTATTTTTGTGACTAGCTGAACTGCAGGCGTCCCCTCGCAAAACTGAAAGAGAAAGTGACACATTGGCCAGGCAAACAGACATTATTTCCCAAGATGAAAGCGTGTCTGAACGTGCTGTTCTCCCTGCCAAGTAAGTTTGTTGAATTTATTTAAATCTACAGGTAGTCCTCGACTTACAACCCATTCATTTAGTGACTGTCTGAAGTGATAACGGCAGAGAAAAAAGTGACATGACCATTTTTCGCACTTGCGACCGTTGGTCAAGTGATCAAAATTCAGACATTTGGCCACTGACTCATATTTATGACGGTCGCAGTGTCCCAGGGTCACCTGATCCTCTTTTGCAACCTTCTGACAAGCAGTGGAGGAGCCAGATTCACTTAACGACTGCAGCGATTCACTTAACAACTGTGGTGGTTCACTTAACAACTGTGGTGATAAAGTTCATAAAATGGGGATAAAACTCACTTAACAATGTCTCACTTAGCAATGGAAATTTTGGGCTCCCTTTGGGTCGTAAGTTGAGGACTACATGTCTCCAAAGTTTGATTACTCCTGGCCATAATTCTGCTTCTTGGTTTGGATTGTCAAGGGTCCTCGAAATTATGGCGGAGATGCCGTGGTTCAAGAATGAAAGAACAGAGGAAATTTTGGATTTAGCTGGGGAAGCCGCTGAGGGCATCAGGGAGAGACCCCATGTTGCTAAAAAAGCAGAAAAGAGTGTGACAAGTAAGAGATTTTTATCTGTTGACATGACATCAAGGTGAGGGGTTGGACTAGATGACCTCCAGGGTTCCTTTCAACTCTATTTTTCCACTTCTGTGACTCCACGTGGATCGAAATAAAGTGAATCTTCAAGGCTAGACTGAACCGTGTTTCTAGATGTTCAGATTTGCAGGATTATAAGGCTACCTAGTTAATCCTCCTCTCCTCCCCCCCTTAGCATCTGCAGAGAAGGGAAGGGAGGGGGGCAGTGTGGGTTGTGCTGCCTTTTCGAATCAAGGACACAATCAAAGGCGCAAAATAGCAGACAGTGCCTTGGTGTCCTGATACATATGACATAATAACACCTTGCAGCAGACATGGAGGCAGCCCAAGCAGTCTGATACTTTTATTTATTTTCTAGGAGTTGAATAAATTAAGGTTGCAATCAGAACCACACACACAAGCAGAAACATACACACAGCTTCCTGTGTGTATGTTTTTTTTTTTTTACAGTGGTCTGTTAGTCTGTTATATGACAGCAAACCCCACTCCCTCTAGCACTGATAACGTTACTTAGATGGGTGATGAAATACCTGCAAGAAAGCAATTAAGCTCAGGGAGCACCAAGGACCCCACAATCCTCCTCCCCTCCTTCCTCTTCCTCTCCTCCTCCTCCTTCCTTCCCCTTCCCCTTCTCCTTTCTCTTCCTCTTCTTCTTCCTCTTCCTCTCTTCCTTCTCCTCCTTCTCTTCCCCTTCCCCATTCTCTTCCCCTTTCTCTTCCTCTCTTCCTTCTCCTCCTTCTCTTCCCCTTCCCCATTCTCTTCCCCTTTCTCTTCCTCTCCTCTTTCTCCTCCTTCCCCTTTCCCTTCCCCCTCCTCCTCCCCTTCCCCTTTCTCTTCCTCTTCTTCTTCTTCTTCCTCTCCTCCTTCTCCTCCTCCTTCCTTCCCCTTCCTCCTCCTCTTCCTCTTCCTCTCCTCCTTCCTTCTCCTTCCCCCTCCTTCTGCCCTTCCCCTTTCTCTTCCTCTTCTTCTTCCTCTTCCTCTCCTCCTTCTCCTCCTTCCTTCCCCTTTCCCTTCCCCCTCCTTCTGCCCTTTCTCTTCCTCTTCTTCTTCCTCTTCCTTCTCCTCCTCTTTCCCTTCTCCCTTCCTCCTTTGCTCCCTCTCCTCCCTTCCTTCTCCTCCTTTCCCCCCTTCTCCTCCTTCCTCTTCCCCCTCACCCATTCCACAAACCCCACTCCCTTCTAGCACGCATGGCCTTACCTACTTGGGTCATGAAACGTCTGCAAGAAAATAACCAAGCTCTGTACCTGTCCAACTGCACTTCGTATTTTGCTTTTATTAGGCCCACCATACATGCAAGTCCCTCTTGAGGATGTCCAGGTTCGGTGTGGGGAAATGGCCAAGTTCCAGGCCACGATTGAAGGCCACCCTCAGCCCGTTATCGGATGGTTTAAGGTAGGTCAAAGAGACACCCAAACTTAAGTGGAAATTTAAAAAAAAAAGAAACGTCTACTGACCCCTTTATTCAGCTGTGGGCACACTATTTTGGAGAAAATAATTCCAGGTAGTCCTCAACATATGACCACAATGGAGGCCAAAACTTCCATTGCTATGCAAGGCAGTTATTAAGTGAGTTTTTCCCGCTTTATGTCCTTTCTTGCCACAGTTGTTAAGTGAATCCCTGCAGTTGTTAAGTTAGTCACATGGTTGTTAAGCGAATCTGGCTTCCCCATCGACTTTGCTGATCACGAGGTCGCAAAAAGGGAAATATGTGATTCTGGGACACTGCCACCGTCATAAATACAAGTCCCTTTTTTCAGAGCCGTTGGCCCTGAAAAAAGGGACTTGTATTTATGACGGTGGCAGTGTCCCAGAATCACGTGTTTCCCTTGTTGCGACCTCCCTTTCTCTTGTAAGTTGAGGACTACCTGTGTTTATAAATATCACATCATATCACATTGCCTTGGGGCAAACCTTCCCCATTCTTAGACCAAGAGTTTAAGAACGGGGCTGCCCTGGCTGAAGTCCAGGCGAAGGGCTGAAATTCCGGCCATCTGCCTAATTTTGCGTGCTCTCCCCTCGTCTTCCTTCCAGGGAATTTCCTTGTTGCTGGACAGCGAAAGGATCTACCAGTCCAAGGAGGGCACCAGCTACTCTCTGATCCTGTACAACGCTCAGGCCGAAGATGGCGGGGTCTACACGTGCATGGCTAAAAACGCCGGAGGGGAGGTGGTCTGCAAAGCGGAGCTGGTGGTACAGGAAGGTACATTGGCTTGGTGGCTTTCTTCTCATTCATTCTTTATTTCCCTCCCTCCCTTCCTTCCTTCCCTCCTTCCTTCCTTCCTCTCTTTTGTCTCACCCTTCCCCTTCCTTTCTTTCTTCTTTCCTTCCTCCCTCCATCCCTCCCTCCCTCCCTTCCTTGCTTCCTTCTTCCTTCCTTCCTTCCTCTCTTCTGTCTCATCCCCTTCCCCTTCCTTCCTTCCTTCCTACCTTCCTTCCTTCCTTCCTTCCTTCCTTCCTTCCTTCCTTCCTTCCTTCCTTCCTTCCTTCCTTCCTTCCTTCCTTCCTCTCTTCTGTCTCACCCTTTCCCCTTCATTTCTTCCTTGCTTCCTTCCTTCCTCTCTCCCTCCCTTCCTCCCTTCCTTCCTCTCTTCTGTCTCACCCCCTTCCCCTTCTCCTTCCTTCCTTCCTTCCTCTCTTCTGTCTCACCCCTTCCCCTTCCTTCCTTCCTTCCTTTCTTCCTTCCTTCCTTCCTTCCTCCCTCCCTCCCTTCCTCCTTCCTTCCTCTCTTCTGTCTCACCCCCTTCCCCTTCCTTCCTTCCTTCCTCCCTCTCTTCTGTCTCACCCCTTCCCCTTCCTTTCTTCCTTCCTTTCTTCCTTCCTTCCTCCCTCCCTCCCTTCCTCCTTCCTTCCTCTCTTCTGTCTCACCCCCTTCCCCTTCCTTCCTTCCTTCCTCCCTCTCTTCTGTCTCACCCTTTCCCCTTCCTTTCTTCCTTCCTTTCTTCCTTCCTCCCTCCCTCCCTCCCTTCCTCCTTCCTTCCTCTCTTCTGTCTCACCCCCTTCCCCTTCCTTCCTTCCTCCCTCCCTTCCTCCTTCCTTCCTCTCTTCTGTCTCACCCCCTTCCCACCCTTCCTCCCTCCCTCCCTTCCTTCCTTCCTCTCCTCCCTCCCTTCCTCCTTCCTTCCTTCTTCTTCTGTCTCACCCCCTTCCCATTCCTTCCTCCCTCTTCCTCCCTCCCTTCCTTCCTTCCTCCTTCCTTCCTTCCTTCCCTCCCTTCCCTTCCTTCCTTCCTTCCTCTCTTTTGTCTCACCCCCTTCCCCTTCCTCTCCTTCCTTCCTTCCTTCCTTCCTTCCTTTCTTCCTTCCTCCCTCCCTCCCTCCTCCCTCCCTTCCTCCTTCCTTCCTCTCTTTTGTCTCACCCCCTTCCCCTTCCTTCCTTCCTTCCTTCCTTTCTTCCTTCCTTCCTCCCTCCCTCCCTCCCTCCCTTCCTCCTTCCTTCCTCTCTTCTGTCTCACCCCCTTCCCCTCCCTTCCTCCTTCCTTCCTCTCTTCTGTCTCACCCCCTTCCCCTTCCTTCCTTCCTTCCTCCCTTCCTTCCTTCCTTCCTTCCTTCCTTCCTTCCTTCCTCCCTCCCTTCCTCCTTCCTTCCTCTCTTCTGTCTCACCCCCTTCCCCTTCCTTCCTTCCTTCCTTCCTCTGTTCTGTTTCACCGTTTCCCTTCTCTTCCCCTTTCCCATTCCTTCCTTCCTCCTCCTTCCTCCTTCCTTCCTCTCTTCTGATAACTGTCTTTCAATATTCGAGGGGCTGTTAGTGAGAAGAGGGACTCAAGCTATTTTCAAAGCACCTGAGGGCAGGACAAGAATCAACGGATGGAAACGAATCCAGGAGAGAAGCAACCTGGAACTAAGGAGAAACTTCCCGACAGTCAGAACAATTAACCAGTGGAACAGCCTGCCTCCAGGAACAGTAAATGCTCCAACGCTGGAAGTTTTTAAGAAGAGACTGGACAGCCATTTGTCTGAAATGGTATAGGGTTTCCCACCTGAGCAGGGGGCTGGACTAGATGACCTCCAAGGTCCCTTCTTATTCTGTTCTGTTCTCCAAAGCCCCTGAAGGCAGGACAAGAAGCAACAGATGGAAACTCATCAAGGAAAGAAGCAACCTAGAACTAAGGAGAAACTTCCTGACAGGGAGAAGAATTAACCAGTGGAACAGTTGTGAGTGGTCCAGCCCTGGAGGTTTTCAAAGAAGAGATGGACAGCCATTAGTCTGGACTGGGATAGAGTCTCCTGCCTGGGCAAGGGTTTAGAGCAGTGGTTCTCAACCTGTGGGTCGGGACCCCATTTGGGGTCGAACGACCATTTCACGGGGGTTGCCAAACAACGCAGTCCGCCATTTTTTCCCCCTTTTCCTTAGCTGTGCTCCTCCCTTTTATTCTATTGGCTTTTGAAAGCCAATAGAAGAGACTCTCTTGAATAGAGTCTAATTCTATTGGCTTTCAAAAGCCAATAGGAATTGTCCAGGCTGTCTCTGTCCTGCTGAGCCCGCCAAAAGTCCCATTCTGCAAACGGTGCTGCACCAGTTGAGTAGTCCTCAACTTATGAACGGTTGAGTAGTCCTCAACTTATGAACGGTTGGGGGGGTCGTGGCATTAAAAAGGTTGAGAACCACTGTTTTAGATAGAAAACCTCCATGGTCCCTTACAGTCGTTCTATTTCTATTTGCAGGTCTTTGTATTTTGTCTTTTTTTCTCCAACTCCCACGCTAAAGGTCTGTGGAGATTCTCAATCACCCAGGTCATAGTTGTCCGAAAGATGCTTTTTCCAAAAAGCAACTGGACTTTCTTGTTGTTGTTTTTTTTCCTTTGAAAAGATTTTGCTTTTTATCCAAGAAGCTTCAGCTGCCTGATTCATATTTATGAGTCAGTTTATTTCGTATTATGAGTCAGTTGCTGACCGGCTCTTATTCATGACGGTTGTCCTGGGTCACGTGATCCCCTTTTGGGATCTCTTGACAAGCAAAGTCACAGGGGAAGCCAGATTGGCTGAACAACCGTGTCACTGCAGGGATTCACTTAACAAGTAGGGTAAGAAAGGTCCTAAAAGGGGGCAAAACTCACTTAACAACTGTCTTGCTTAGCAGCAGAAATTTGAGGCTCCACGGTGGTCATAACCTGAAGACTACCTGTATTTGATGGTCCTACCAGTTCTTGCTTGGAAGGCAAACAGCATTTCTTTCAGATCTTCCCATACATCATTGTCACCACTCTGGTTCTTATTCTGATTATTGTAGATAAGAAAAGTCAAGAGGTGAAAAAGCGAAGCCCACGAAGAAAACTTCATTCTTTCTATGAGGTTAAACACGAAATAGGAAGGTAAAAGTGATTCCCCCCCCCCTTAGCATCTACTTAGCATTATTTGGGGAGGGAATACAACACCAGGGAAACTTCCCCCCCCCCCAAATTCAAGATTTGAACTTACCCTTTCATTCTCTGAATATTTAACGATTTTCAGGGGCTCCTTTAGCGTTCTCAAGAAAGTCATCCATAAAGCCAACCGTGTGGCTTGTGCAGCAAAATTCATCCCGCTGCGAAGTCGAACGAGAGAACGAGCTTATCGCGAGAGAGACATTCTAGTCGAGCTTTCCCACGACCGAATCACTCAACTGCTGGACCAGTTTGAAACACGGAAAACCTTAATTCTTGTTTTGGAACTGTATCCTTTTTGCCCCTGAAAAGAGGAATAAAGAAAGATATGAAAGGAGATGGTGTTCAGACCCTAGTCCTCAGTGTTCCTTCCTTGCTAAGGTGGGCTAGATCAAGAAACAGGCATCACAAATGCTCCTTTGCTGTTTGTAAGGTCTACTACTAGAATCTTGAAAGCTTCTCCAAGTTGGTTTCTATCCCATCTTACTTTAAACACCATCAAGGTGGGATTATTTTGAATTTCTTTCTCCCACGCCTCTGTTTCTCAGGATAGTGGAAGCTGACAGAAGAGAGTATTTGTAGCTCAGTGTTGAACAGTGAGATTCTCAGTGCTCTCTGAGGTTTTCTTGCAGATGCTTCATGACCCAACTAGGGAACATCATGAGCTCTAGAAGGGAGGAGGTTTGCAAAGAAGAGGAGGAGGAAGAGAAGGAGGAGGAGGAGGAGGAGGACGACGACGACAACTAAGGGGTCCTAGATGCTCTCTGAGCTTGGTGGTTTTCTTGCAGACATTTTATGACCCAACTAGGGAACATCATCAGTGCCAGAAGGGAGTAGGGTTTGTGGAGAGGAGGAGGAGGAGGAGGAGGAGGAGGAAGATTGTGGGAACCTTGGGGTTCTTTGATCTTGGTAATATTCTGACAGATGTTTCATTTATGAGCCGAGGTGGCGCAGCAGTTAGAGTGAAGTACTGCAGGCCACTTTAGCTGACTGTGTTCAGCAGGTCAGCGGTTCAAATCTCACTGGCTCAAGGTTGACTCAGCCTTCCATCCTTCCGGGGTAGGTAAAATGAGGACCCAGATTGTTGGGGGCAATGTAAATATATATATATATACATTGCTTACTGGTGTACACCGCTTAGAGAGTGCTTGCACTTAAAGCAGTATATAAGTCTCATAAATAAATAAATAATAAATAAATTACCAAACTAGGTAACAACATCAGTGTTAGAAGCTAGAACCCCACCCCACTCTAGCACTGATGATGTTTCCTAGTTGGGCCATGAAACGTCTGCAAGAAAACGACCAAGCTCAGAGAGCATCAAGGATTCCATGGTTCAGCTGAAGCTACACATATTCTATAGGTTCTTCAAGTCCCATCTTGAAGTTATGGGAGTATCAAATGTCTTTGGCCAGTCCCTCTTTCTCAGCCTGAATTGTTTGGCCATATGGGGAGAGTGAATTTTTGAAGGAGTCTTTTGATTCTAGATTCATTTGCTTGCCCAGCTCAAAGGCTTGGTCCATATTCCTTAATGGATTAGATGTTCCAATGAAGAGCTTCTGGATCGCCTCCATAAGAAGAACATGGTGACGGAAGCAGAGGTGGGATTCCTTTCTTGTGTATTTTAAGGAGAGGATCTAAAGAGCTTAAGACAAACGAAGATAGTTGAATTCAGCCAACCCTCCTACCCCAGCTCAGTTTTTTTCTGATGTTATAGACCAGACATGTCAAACACAAGGCCCGGGGGGCCGGATGCGGCCCGCAAAGTGGTTTCATGTGGTCCACGAAGCCATCCTGGAAACAGTGAGGGAACGGCCCCCACTGCCTTGACCCTGGCCCAGGCCAGCCGGGAGCCAATGTACAATTTTGTGGTGGCCATCCATGCTGAAATGCATTCAGTCTTAGCTCCACAAGGCCGTCCGGAAACAGCGAGGAACCAGCCCCTGCTGTGTCGGCCCAGCCCCCTGGATGCATGCTGGGGAGGTGTCACCCTTTGTGAGGAATGAAGAAATGGACCGTGCCTTGGTGCTTGCCCCGGTCCCCCCCACTTCTGCCAGAGACCCTCAGATCTCTCCCACTCCTGCCCAGGCCCCCACAGGCACCCTTGACGCGAACGATGTAGAGCTGGCCACGCCCACCCAGTAGGCCACACCCACTCCCTCTATGCCCACCCTGACCACACCCACCTGGGCCCCCAAGGGCAACTGCAATGCTTATGCGGCCCTCAGTGAAATTGAGTTTGACACCCCGTTATAGACTCAACTTCCATTTATCCCCAGCTGGCTCAATGTAATTCTCAGTACTGATAGAATATTTGTTCAAGAGAAGCGAATGAAGTAAAAACTTTATTTTTTAACCTCAGGCAGAAAGTCAATTGAATTGGGGGGAGCAAACTGATTTTTGGGGGGGCAAATGGTTGCAAAGTCTAGACCAGTGATGGCGAACCTTTTAGAGACTGAGTGCCCAAAACCGCCCCTGCCCTGCCCGCCCCGCCCCACCCCCCACCCTGCCCACCTGCAGGGCCACTCACCACCTCCACACAGATCGCCCAGGCCAGCCCAGCAGCATCATGGTGACCACGCCCTTCACCCATGCCCCGCAGCATCAACTGCATGCAACAGGCCGCGAGGGCGAAGTCTTGTCCCCGCTGCCTGGCTGCCATATCCTTGGATGCGCTGCTCTGCGCTGGCCATGCTCGGGGGTGACTTTTCTCTGGGGGGGGCTGCTGGTGGGGCAGGGGCTGTGGAGGGAGGCGGGGCTGGGGCGATGGCACGCGTGCCCACAGAGAAGGCTCTGAGTGCCGCCTCTGGCACACGTGCCATAGGTTCGCCACCCCTAGTCTAGACAAACCTGTTCCATATGCTTTTCTATGTGACTTCCATAACTTTATGTTTTCCTCCCTTCTGAAATAGGTCAAATTCTATATCAAGCAACTTCTAGAAGGGATCTTGTACCTTCACAGCAATGAAATACTACATTTGGACATCAAGGTAATTTTTTTATAAACATTGGGTGCTCATGCCTATTTAGTTTCTAGTCTTCCTTTAGGCATAAAAGCCAGCTAGGAGACTTTGGGCCAATCAGCAGGAGACTGGGGATTCTATTCCCGCCTTAGGTGTGAAAGCCGGCTGGGTGATTTTGGCCAATCACCAGGAAGCAGGGAGTTCTAGTCCTGCCTTAGCCATGAAATTCAAACAGATGAATTTTGACCAATCACAAGAAGACTGGGAGTTCTAATCCTGCTTTAGCCATGAAAGCCAGCTAAGCATTTTAGAGATGGGCCAGCTGGCTTTCATACCTAAGGCAGGACTAGAACTCACTATCTCCTGGTGATTGGCCAAAATCACCTGAAGACAGTGAGTTCTAGTCCTGCCTTAGGTATGAAAGCCAGCTGGGTGACTTTGGGCCAAACACCAGGAGACAGTTCTAGTCCTATCTTGGGTATGGAAGCCAAATAGGTGACTTTTGGCTATTACTCTCAACCTAACCCACCTCACAGGATTATTGCAGTGGGAAAAATAGGAGAAGGAAGGTGTGTTGGATATGTTCGCCATCTTGAGCTGCTTATAAAAATAATAAAGGCAGGATATAAAATAAAATAAAATTTAAAAGAAAAGAAAATTAAATTAAAATAAGAAAAAAATAAAATTAATAAATAATAACATAACATAACATGACCTGGTTTCACGACGTAGTGACACAAATTCAGGAATGCAGGGCTCTGTTTTCTACACCCGATTTCACCATGCAGGGGGCCCTAAAAGGGCTTAAAATCACCCCAGAGAGGCGATGAAGAAGAAGGGGTGCCTTGTTGATCACGGAGAGATACCAGTCAATCCATTTGATCCGAGGAAAGCCCTCTAAACCAGCAGGGGAAAGACTGGCTGCACTCCTGTGGCCAGCTTCCAGCTACTGACAACTGAAGAAAGAAGCATTAATTAGCTTAGCAGATCGTAAACAGTTTGTTTGGAACTGGGTGAGAATATTGATCCTTTTTTTACTATTTTACAACTGGATTTCCTGGAAAAGGTTCCCAAGAAGCTAAAAACCTCTGAACGCAAGGCGATTGCAGCCCCACTCTTCTAGAGAAACGGAAGCAGCGTTTTAATTTTTTCATGGGGGACAGAAACATTTAACATTCAAATGGAAGTAATATATAGTTTCAACAAATATGAGAACTGAGAAAATTGTTAAGATTTTTTCTTTAAAAAATTATTGGGGTGAAATATAAGAAATCAACCTTCTATTTTAAGAGTTGGAAAATGGATTTTGAATGACCATCTAGTGGTGGACTAGAGTATAGCACCAGAGCTGCAATGACTGATACAGACCTGGCAAGAAGCCTAGAAACAGATAACAACTTACTTTCTTTGTTGTTTGTTGACTTTTAACTCAACAGAGAACAGTTGGCAACAGAAAAAATATTTTGGCATACTTACTACAGTGTGAGAATCTAATTGTTTTGAAATCTGTTGATCTTCTTGGATTTTTTTTTTTTTTTGTAAAAATTTTTATTTTCAACTTTACAATACATAACAATCTAACAAATACTTCAGATAAAAAATAAAACAAATTGATACACACCACATTCGGTCTTGGCCGCCCATTTCCCCCCAAACCGCATCCCACCTCAAACCAACTTACTTCTTTCCCTCTTTTTCTTCACTCACCCTCTCTCCTCCTTCACCTCAACTTTCCTACTTACTTCTCACCTTCTTCTCCTCCCTCTTGATGCGGTCCAGGGGAAATGTCCGAGCAGTTCCTCTCTCAAAATTAAAACATTAATATTATATACAATAAGACTATTTCTACTTTATCTGAACTACTAAAACTTCAACCCATCCACCCCCCCTCCCCCCTCCCCCCACCCCCTCCCCCCCAACTTTCCAGAGCAAAATACAGGATTATGCAAACACATTAAACATAATCTATTTAAGTTTACTAATTATACAATGAACAAAATCATGAAAATCCTTAACTCTCTTCAAACTTTACCTTCTTGGATTATAAACATATACTGAGCTCTGACTTTTAATTTTAAGAACTATTTGGAGAGAAAGAAAATTTTGACTTCTGGCTATGTTTGTCTGGGGCAGGTTTTTCGATTGCTCTTAGGGTGGTTGAACATTTTGAACACTGAACATTTTGGATTGTAAATTGTAAAGTCAGAAGACAAACCAAAGGAAAGTGATCTAAAGACACAAGATATAAAAGAAGGGAAACATAATTTGGCACAGACAACTAAAAATCTGCAAGACTTAGCTACAACAATGGAAATGGAAAAGGTACCTTATTCTTTAGGTTTTCAAAATATACCTGAGGATAAGGAAGACGATTTTAAAAAACAGATTATAAAGCTGTTAGGGGAAATGTCAGAAATTGGGAGACAAAAAATAAAAAGAGAAATCGAGGGAGAAGGAAAGTGGGAGATGTTTAATGAATATAACTAGGCAGAATTCCCCCTCAAAAATACCCTACTTAAATTGTTTTTCCCATTCCAAGCAGTACTTACAAAAACAAAGGAAGAATTTGTTGATGATTTAATTACTTTGGCCTGGAAACCTAATTGGCAAAGAAAGAAAGCTAGAGTTAAACTCAAAAAACAGAAGATCTGACATACCAGATGGGGTATTATATGAGCCAATATTTGCTTGAATATAGGCAAAAAAATAGATAACACATAGATACAAATAGATTTTTATAATAAGACAGATATGATTTATAATTAGAATAGCACTCTTTCTTTTGATATGGGAATTATAAAAACACTAGCATGGCTTGTATAAATGAAACCTTCAGCAACACAATTGTAACTAACTTTGAGAAAATCATAACTGACAAAGATATTTTGAATACTGATGGGAAATTAAACTTAAAAGCTCGAAAAACAGGACACGGATTTAATAAGGAGACTTTAATTGCAAATACAAGTTAAATGTAAAATGGTTAGAAAAGAGGTTATAAATTGATACTGTTGTTATTTGTATAGCACTAGGTAAATATGAAGAGGATGTGTATATCTAATGTTGTATGTATTAATAGCAGTAAGAATTGTATTTGTTTAACGTTGAGAAAATGAAAACATCAGGGGAAGAAGACAGGGAAAAAACCCACACTGGATTGTGTAGCATTGAATAGATTAATAAATTAAGTTAAGATGCAACATTGAGTAAGAAATATATCCAGACATCACATTTGTTTACTAAGCATTTATGATTTGTAATAATAGAAAATCAATAAAACACATAAAAAAGCATCCTGAAAAATCATGCTAGGGCATATTTTCCATTTGGGTCTGATTCTGGGGAAAACATGATAACTAGGCTAAATTGCCATCTAGGAGTGAAGTTGCTAAGATTCATTTCTTGTTTTTTTGACCATTTCTGTCGATTTCTTCTTCTGGTCCATTCCCACTATCTCTCTTTTATCTCTGCAATCTTCAAAGGACCACAAGGAGGACATCTTGCTTAAACAGAATCGGGGGCTTCCTGAAGTACAGGTGATCCTCAACTTACAACAGTTTGTTTAGTGACCATTCAAAGTTACAACGGCACTGAAAAAAGTGTCTTAGGACCATTTTTCACACGACCGTTGCAGCATCCCCATGGTCATGAGATTAAAATTGGCCACTGGCTCATATTTATGACGGTTGCAGTGTCCAGGCGTCACGTGATCCCCTTTGGCGACCTTCTCATAAGCAATGGGGGAAGCCAGATTCACTTCACCACTGTACTAACTTAACAACTGCAGGTATTCACTTAGCAGCTGTGGCAAGAAAGGTCGTAAAATGAGGCAAAACCCACTTAACAAATGTCTCAGCAACAGTGATTTGTGTGGTAAGTTGAGGACTATCCTGTATCTCAGAATTTCAGCCAGGAAAATCACTTTGAGTCCCCTTGTTCACCGACAGGTTTTATGCCTTGATTCTTTTCTACCAATATTCTACCAATTCTACCTTGATTCTACCAATATTCCCTTCTCTTTCCACTTCTGCAGCCTTCAAACATTTTGATGGTCCACCCTGACAGGGATGACCTTAAGATCTGCGATTTTGGCTTCGCCCAACGGATAAATCCGTCGGAGCCTCAGTACAGCACTTACGGATCTCCAGAATTTGTCCCACCAGAAGTTCTGTCCCGGTCCCCAGTATCAACAGCCTCGGACATCTGGTAAATGAATCCTCTCACTTCTCATTCCTTCTAGTTTTGCTCTAACTTTCCTTGTGCTTTTGGTGAACCTTCTTGAAGATCAATGGAGAACCAAGAAGGTTAACCCTAAATTAGTGGACCAGCAAAATGCTGTGGATATCATATGCTTAGACTTCAGTAAAGCATTTGATGAAGTAGACCACAACCTACTTCTTGGTAAGACAGAACAAGGAAGGATAGAAAGCATCACCACCAGATGGATTCAAAAGGGCTGACCAACCGCACTCAATGTGTGCTCTTCACTGGAATACATCTACATCAGTGGTTCTCCACCTGTGGGTCGGGACCCCATTTGGGGTCGAACGACCATTTCACGGGGGTCGCCAAACAATGCAGTCCACCATTTTTTCCCTCCTTTTCCTTAGCTGTGCTACTCCCTTTTATTCTATTGGCTTGTGAAAGCCAATAGAATAGACTCTCTTGAATAGAGTCTAATTCTATTGGCTTTCCAAAGCCAATAGGAATTGTCCAGGCTGTCCCTGCCCTGCTGAGCCCGCCAAAAGTCCCATTCTGCAAACGGTGCTGCACCAGTTGAGTAGTCCTCGACTTACGACCGGTTGAGTAGTCCTCGACTTACGACCGGTTGGGGATCGCGGCATTAAAAAGGTTGAGAACCACTGATCTACATGGAGGGAAGCATGCAGTGAGATTCCCAAAGGTTCAGTCTTGGGCCCAGCATTTTTCAACATCTTCTCAAGTGATCTAGACAAGGGGATAGAAAGGAAACTCCAGATGACATTTAACTAGAAGGAACAGCCAATTTAGAAGATAAGCTAAAACAGACATGTCAAACACAAGGCCCGGGGCCCAGATGCGGCCCGTGAAGTGGTTTCATGTGGCCTGTGGAGCCATCCTGGAAACAGTGAGGGAACGGCCCCTGCTGCCTTGGCCCTGGCCCAGTCCAGCCGGGAGCCACTGTAAAATTTTGTGGTGGCCATCTTAGCACTTGCCCCAGTGGGCCATGCCTTGGCACTTGCCCCGGTCCCACCCCCCTTCTGCCAGAGACCCTCAGATTTGTCCCATTCCTGCTCAGGCCCCCATAGGCACGCTTGACACGAATGATGTAGAACTAGCCACACCCACCCAGTAGGCCACACCCACTCCATCCATGCCCACCCAGTAGGCTGCACCCACTCTGGCCACACCCACCCAGCCCCCTGAGGGCAACCGCAATGCTGATGCGGCCTTCAGTGAAATTCAATTTGACACCCCTGGGCTAAAGTTTTAGAATAACTGATTAACAGAAAAGAATAACGTAGTTGGAAGGGGCCTCAAAGGTCATCCAGTCCAGCCCCCTGCTCAGGCAGGAAACTCCATACCATTTCAGACAAATGGTTGTCCAATCTCTTCTTAAAAAGTGTTGGAGCAACCAGAACATCTGGAGGCAATCCGTTCCACTGATTAATTGTTCTAACTGTCGGGAAATTTCAAACTTGGATCTTGGATCCTTATCCAACAAGATGCAGTTTCCCCACTGGAGAAAAGTAAGGTTCTACATTTGGGCAGTGAGAACCAAATGCATAGTTGTAGAATAGGCAGCAGCTGGCTCAGAAGTTTCAATTGTGAGAGGGATCTAGGTGTATCATTGGATCATCACCTAAGTATCAGACAGCTGTGTGCTGCAGCTGCAAAAAAGACCAATGCAGTCCTGAGCTGCACCAACAGATCACAAGAAGCAATAGTACCACTTTATACTGCACTGGTGAGGCTAACTTGGAATACAGTGTCCAGTGGTGGTCACTATGATACAAAAAGGATGTTGAGACCCTAGACAGAGTACAGAGAAGAGCAACAAAGTTGATAAAAACTCTAGAAGCTAAATTCATACGATGAATGGTTGAGTGACCCAGGTATAGCTTATCAAAGAGAAGAGTCAGGGTGGTGGTGGTGGATATGATAACTTTCTTCCGATACTTGTGACAGAGAAGAGGGGATCAATCTATTGTCTAAAACACCAGAGGACATAAGAAGACATGGGTGGAACCTCATCAGAGGAAGATCCAACCTGAAAATAAGAAGAAATTTCTTGACAGTTAGAACAATTAATCAATGCTTCCAGAAGTTGTGGGTGCTCCATCACTGGAGGTTTTCAAGAAGAGACTGGACAACCATTTGACAGGGATGGTATAAGGCAGTGGTGGCTAACCTATGGCACGGGTGCCAGAGGCAGCACTCAGAGCCCTCTCTGTGGGCACGTGCGCCGTCACCCAGTCCTGGGCCTTCAGCTGGGTTTTATAAAACCTTTTCGCTTTAGGCCTCCACCGCCGTGTGCAAAAAAAAAAAAGGTTCAATCAGTCAATTTCAACTTCTCACAAAAAAAAAGATCTTGCAAAGTTGGAATTGATTGAACTTTTTAGTCCCACCCGGTCTGCCGTTACCACCACAGCCATGCCCAGCCAATGGGCCACGCCCAGCCAATGAGCCACACCCACCCAATGGGCCACACCCACCTGGCACTCGTCAATGCATAAGTGGGTTTTGGGTTGCAGTTTGGGCACTCAGTCTCTAAAAGGTTCGCCATCACTGGTATAAAATCTCCTGCCTTGAATAGGTGGTTGGAGTAGAAGACCTCTGAAGTCCCTGCCATCACTATTCCCTGTTCTAATCTTTTGTGTTTTGGGATTGATCTCCAGAATTTACTGGTTCATGGCTTCCTATTTTTGGCCAAACCTGTTGAGAAACGAAGGAACAATGGAAGACAGTAGAAGAAACCAGCTCCTCCTTCAGGGTAGAGTTCCTCAACCCTGGCAAACTGAAGATGCTGGCTTGGGAATTCTGGCCACCCATCTTAAATTTGCCAAGTTGAGAAACTCTGTTTCAAGGTACTAAGCCAGAGAAGGCTGATCTATCAAGGCTTTATGAGTGCTGCAATTCTTTTCTAATATTTGTTCTTTTTCTTATAGGCCGGTGGGCGTTATTAGCTATTTAAGGTAAGCATATGGGACCTTAAAAGTTTGTCGTATCGCACATAAGTCCTCGAACTAGGACTCCAGTCGAGCCCAACACTTCTGTTGCTAAGCAAGACAGTGGTGAAGTGGGTTTGGCCTCATTTTACGATCTTTCTTGCCACTGTTGTTAAGTGAACCACTGCAGTTGTTAAATGAATCTGGCTTCCCTGCTGGCTTTGTCAGAAGGTCACCAAATGGGATCACATGACCCCAGGACCTTGCAACCATCCTAAATAAAAGCCAGTTGCCAAGCCTCTGAATTTTGATCACGGGACCCTGGGGATGCTGCAACGGTCATAAATGTTAAAAACAATATCATCTTTTAAATGCTGTTGCAACTTTAAACGGTCACTCAACAAATGACTGTAAGTTGAGGATTACCTTGTAGGTCTTATCACCAACAAAGGGCCATCCTCTGCCTTTTCTTTGCATATAGGCCGACTTGGTTTGTGCCGATACAAACAATATAAAGTTTTGTCTTTTCTTTTCAAACGATCAGCTTGACCTGCAAGTCTCCCTTTGCTGGGGAAAATGACAGAGCAACCCTGCTTAACGTCCAGAACGGGATCATTTCGTGGAAGAGCTCTGACTGGGGTCATTTGAGCAAAGAAGCAAAGGATTTTATCGAAAAGATCCTTCAGCCAGCTCCTAGGTGAGTGGATGAATGCTCTTCTCATTTTTGTTTCAGAGAGATAGCATAGGAAGGAGGTATTTGTAAAATACCTTCAGGATTTTAGAAGAAGGATAGACTTGAGGGACAGATGGGCTCTGGGAAAGCCAGCAGTCTCTGGAGTTCTTGGTGCTCTCTGAGCTGGGTGGTTTTCTTGAAGAAGTTGCATGACCCAGCTAGGTAACATCATCAGTGCTAGAAGGGAATAGTATTTGGGAAGAGGAGGAGGAGGAGGAGGAGGAGGAGGAGGAGGAGGAGGAGGAGGAGGAGGAGGATTATTGTGGGGTCCTCGATGCTCTCTGAGCTTGGTGGTTTTCTTGCAGACATTTCATGACCCAACTAGATAATAGCATCAGTGCCAGAAGAGAGTGGTTTTGATTTTGTATACTAGCATCCTTGCAGATGTTTTATGATCCAACTGGGGAACATCAGTTTTAGAAGGGAGAGGGGCTTGTTCAGGGGAGGAGGAGGAGGAGGAGGAGGAGGAGGAGGAGGAGAAGGACTGTGGGGTCCTTGGTGCTCCCTGAGCTTGGCAGTTTTCTTGCAGACATTTCACGACCCATCTAGGTAACACCATCAGTGCCAGAAGAGAGTGGTTTTGATTTTATATACTAGCATCTTGCCCTATTAGAGTTGGTGGGAATGATCTTGGTGGTTCCTTGATCAGGCAGTTGTTTACTACCAAGACCACTCCCATCAATCCTGACAGGGCAAGCTGCTAGTATATAAAATCAGAACCACTCCCTTTTGGCACTGATGGTGTTACCTAGTTGGGTCATGAAATGTCTGCAAGAAAACAAACCGGCTCAGAGAGCACCAAGGACCCCAGAGTCGTCGTCGTCTCCTCCTCCTCCTCCTCCTCCTCCTCCTCCTCCTCCTCCTCCAACCCCACTCCTTTTAGCCCTGATGATGTTACCTAGTTGGGTCATGAAACGTCCTCAAGAAAACCAACTACCCTTTTCTTCAACCCTGAGCTACAAATATTCTCTTCTATCAATATTCTTCCTACCCTGCTTCTCCAAAGTCCATTATCCTGGAACATTCTTGAAATTTGGAAGTCTGTATGATTGATTGATTGATATATCAAACCTTAACTGACCATCTCCCTCACAGAGGGGTTCTGAATATACAGTTTAATCAATATAACAAAGCACTAAAAACTGAACAATTTAACTTTTAAAATTTTTTAAAGTGTGATAGAACAACATTGGGGTGGAGATTTTTCAGAAGTGGACAATTAGGTCCAATGCTTTTTTTTGTAAAAAAAAAAAAAAAAAAAGTGCCAGAACTCACACATGTCGTACAACCTGCCTTGCCTACCCTACAAGGTTTACCTTTGTAGTTGAAAAAAACTCCTTCAATGTTTAGTGTATCTAAAAGACTAGGGTTTTGTTCAAGGCAACTCTGGAAAATCTGTTGAAAAAAGGTGCTACAACCCTGATTAGGTCCAAAAGTGGAATAGGTCAAGGCGTATAGTATTGGATGACAAAAAGCTGCCAGAGAAGAGATTTCAGAACATGAACAGAGTGCTTATGATCCCAGCCTGAATTCTCCCCCCCCCCCAAGGTGGCTCCACAAGATCAGTTCTTTCCAGAGACGCCAGAGTTGTTGAAAATTCATTTTCATGCATAGCTATATCTTGACATATCAGGTGAAACCTAGTTTATTGTTTCTCTTTATAGAACCAGGCCAAGTGTGATGGAATGCCTATCTCATCCCTGGTTTTCTGTAAGTTTTGAAAGACTGGAAGAATCAGATTTTGATCCTCGTCTCTTTTTTCCCCCTTAATCTGGATGCCTGTGAGGCTACAGAGGTCAAACAAGTCAAAATGGCAGCTAAACAGGACAGGGACAGGGGTCTGATTGCACACAGTTACAATTGTTATTTTAAATTTTTAACCTCCCTAATTTGGAGGATGCCCTTGCTAAATCAAAGTGTGGGCTTCTCCCAAAACGTGTAATTTATAGCAAGAATACAAAAGGAATAGCAGTGTCTTTTGACTTGGTGGCTTGTTTTTTTTTTTTTCCTCCCCCTAAAACGGAACAATTCCAGATGAATGCAAGATTCCCTGATTTTCAAAATAAATCAGGTTATTTGCTGGGTGTTTGAAAATATGACCCAAAATTTATTTTTAAACTGATATATTTAAACTTTTCAGCACAAGCTACCGCCCGAAGAGGCTCATTTTATCGAGACAAAATCACTCAGCTTTTTTGTATCCCGAAGCAAATGGCAGGTGAGTAAGAAGCTCTACCCTGATGCACAATTATTTTGTCTTTACCAGTGTCAATGTTTTGGGGTCCGTTATATGCGTTGTTAGGCATGTTTTAAATTTTTATTTCAGAGATAGAATGTATGCAATACAGACCTTGCTGTTTATTCCTAAGGAAGCTAGCAAACTTGGAAAAAGAGTAATTTAGATTTTAACTGCATATTTAAATGGCTTAAATGTTGTTCCAAGATTTCTTGTCCCACATCCCTGTATTAACAGAAAACCCTAAGGTAGTATTTCTCAACCCTGGCAACTTTTAAGAGCCGTGGACTTCAAGTCACAGAATTCCTTAGCCAGCATGGGAATTCTGGGAGTTGAAGTCTACATGTCTTAATATTGCTAAGGTTGAGAAACATGGCTTCTAAGCAGTCATTGTTTATTTATTTATTTTTATTTATCAGAATTCTATGCTGCTCATTTGACAAACACAGATAGTCCTCGACTTACGACCACAATTCAGCCCCAAAATTTCCATTGCTAAGCCAGACAAATGTTAAGTAAGTTCTGCCCCATTTTATGACCTTCATTCCCACAGTGGTTAAGTGAATCACTGCAGTTGTTAAGCTAGTCACAGGTTGGTTAAGTGAATCTGGCTTCCCCATTGACTTTGCTTGTCAGAAGGTCATAAAAGGGGATCACATGACCCTGGGACACCGTCATAAATATGAATAAATTGCTGAGTCAGCTGAACTTTTTTAAAATAATATTTCATTAGTTTTCTAATTTTATAATTAAACATTTAAAAAGCAATGTGGTGACTGGGTAATCAATAATTCAATACATAAATATTCAGCACAAATCTCAAGTTACAACATCAGATATTTCCTCTCTTTTTTCCCTTAATATCTACTATCTCATATTAGGCTGATATAGGTCTTATTATTATCAACCAAGTAAAAACCATCTTTGTTACATTTATCAATAATTTTTAGATTATACATATCTTAATTGTATATTCAATCCTTATATACAATCAATGTCCTGTTATTGTTTTTTCCCAGGCTTTAATTTCCCATCAATATTCAAATTAACATTTGGTATTTATAATTTCCAAGCATTAGGTGACCAGAGTTTCCCTCATCTCAACTTCTACATTTTTCCCTTTTCATAACAAAATCTAACATTTTAAATACACATCTTATCTATTTGCCAATAATCTTATTCTATTCTAAAAGTTATCTATTTTCCACCATATTAAACCAAAAGTCTGTTAGTCTTATTACACATCTTACCTGTTCAATTAATTATAGGGTTACTTTATTTTCTAAAAATTATCTATTTTTCATCATATACAATTGTCTAATCCAGTGGTTCTCAACCTGTGGGTCGGGACCCATTTGGGGTTGAACGACCATTTCACGGGGGTTGCCAAACAACGCAGTCTGCCATTTTTCCCCCCTTTTCCTTAGGTGTGCTGCTCCCTTTTATTCTATTGGCTTTTGAAAGCCAATAGTCTCTCTTGAATAGAGTCTAATTCTATTGGCTTTCAAAAGCCAATAGGAATTGTCCAGGCTGTCTCTGCCCTGCTGAGCCCGCCACCAGTTGAGTAGTCCTCGATTTACGACTGGTTGAGTAGTCCTCGACTTACGACCGGTTGGGGGTTGCGGCATTAAAAAGGTTGAGAACCACTGCTCTAATCAGTAATATAAAATCCCCTCTAATAGATCAAAACCCTAGTTTCTTTCAGCCTTACTCTGGCTTTCTTTCTTTGCCAACTGACCTTCCATGTCAGTACATTTGAACAGGGCTTTTTTTCTCATAGAACGCCCAGAGCGGAGTTCCGGCACCTTTTTTGGATGGAACCTTGTAGGGTAGGCAAGGCGGGTTGTATGATGTGTGTGAGTTCTGACACTTTTTTTTTTAGAAAAAAAAGCACTGCATTTGAATCCTCAAACAGTTCTCCCTCTATTATTATATATATTAGTTGGAATAAGAAAGACAATTTGGTTACAGTTTTTTGGGAAGAACTAGCCCACTTGTGTTCATTTAATTGCCTCCATTACTCCAATTTCCCACAATTGTCCTGATAGGTTTATCTTCCATTCAATCTGTTCTTCTTCCTTTTCCTCAAATTTCTTCTGATTTATGTAAAAAGTCTTTTCCATTTTCAATGTTGTCACTTCCTTTTCTGATTTTTCTGTTGGCTGGATCTGCTGGTCAATTGGGTCCTCTCTTAGTATTTAGTTGTTCCACTTCTCCTGTTACTTTCTGCATTGTTAGTTCTTTGGTTGTAGTCAAGATCTGGGTTTGTATATCTAAGCTGGCATCTTGTTCCTTTATGTTGCATCTTATTTTGTTATACAAGCTGAAAGAATGGTTTTGTGTACTGATTTCAACATAGAAATGATTTTTTCCTGATCTTCATCCATATTCTCTTGATAATGTGTTAAGTTGAAGACTTTAAAATCAAACATTAAAAATAGTTTTTTGTTTTTATTTCACATGTTGTAGATAGTCTTTATAGTGGAAATTCTTTGCCAAGTAAGAATTTATAGACCAAAATATTCCATCATCTTGTGTAATAACAGATGCTTCTCATGTAAAGAAATAGGAAAGCAATTCCCCACATATGAAAATCAGTAAAGGTTTATCTTCATAGTTCAAGCAGGCCAGATATGCCACCCTACTTCCTTCTTTACAGCTGAGTTTTTCACAAGTGGTAGTTGTCAAGGTCAGAGAAGTTTTTTCTAGAGTCTGGGTTTCAAGCCAAGTCTCTTTTAGTCAATAACAAGTTGTAATACCATACTTCGCCAAAGATGTCACCGAGGCCATTTAAAACTTTTAAAGTCCAAAGTTTTTATAATAGTTTTTCAAGGTTTTTTTTTCTTTTTAGATAAAAAGCAACATCTCCAGTAAAAATAGGAAAACCTTTAGGCCCCAAATTTCAAAAGTATATGCAGCCAATTAGATTAAAGTTGTTCTTATAATTGCTCTGTTTCCCCTGGGTAGTCAGTCACCGCTATTCTTAGAGGGTGGGGTATAAATTCCCTTCCCTCTCTCCTCACAGGGGGAAAAATACTTTGGGCAGCTTTTGCAGGAAAAGATATTTAAAGTCTTAAAGAGAAGATCAGATCTCACCCAGTTTCATCCGCGTTGCTTTAAAGGTGCTTGGTAGTAATTTTGAATTCGGCTTTCAGCAGCTTAGTGATGACCACATTACTATAGCCGGTCTTTCCCCCGTTGGTTTGGAGGGCTGCCCCAGATCAAGCAGAAGGGCTGCGCCCTCCTGCGATCAAGCGGGGGTCCCCTCCTTGCTCGTCACCCCTACAGGGCAACTTTCAACCCTTTCCACGGTCCCCAGAGGGGTGAATTCGGACGCAGAAGATGGAGTTTGCCTTCCTGCGTATGCAGGTGCCATGATGGCAAACCAGAAGTCAGCTGAACTTTGATCACATGACCATGAGGATGCTGCAACAGCCATAAATGTGAAAAATGTCACCTTTTTCAGTGCCGTTGTAACTTAGAAAGGTTTCTAAAAGAACAGTTGTAAGTCGAGGACCACCTGTATTGCAGATTTTTTGCAGAATTACTTGAGGTAAAATCGTTGTTTTGACTGCAATGATATAATAGCAGCATTTCAGGATGCAACATCACTAGATTGGACAACCATTTGTCTGGGAATGGTATAGGATCTCTTTCATGAGCAGGGGGTTGGACTAGATGACCTCCCAGGAACCTTCCAACCTCATGATTCTAGGTTCTATCATATTCTGTTTGGACTGGCCTAAGTTTTTTTTTTTCTGCTGTCTTAATCTTCCTTCATTCCTTTCATGTCCAGCGGTCTCTTATGAGCTATAAGTCATTGCTTGTAATGAGACCGATCCCAGAAATTCTGGAAAAGCATCACAAGAACACTTCACTTGGCATCTCGCGACAACTGGTCGAAGAGAGCAGTTCCTCCAGCACCAGTGGGTCATCTTCGGACAACGAAATTTTGGTCTCGTCTGGCAAAAAACCTTTTGGACCCATTCCAGAAATTCGTCTATCTGTGCTGGAAGGATCAAACAATCAAGAAGATGAAGTATTTGAAGATGAATTCAAACTTCCTGAAGACTCCAGGCCACCCATCAAAACCAGAAGATTGAAGGAACCTTCAGCGAAGGGACAATTGGATGGACATCCTGTCCGAGAACGAGAAATCTCAGAGATAGATGCCCATGGAAGAATATCGTTTGAGTTGGCTTCATTGCAAGATCAAGCTGGATTGTTGCCTCCAGAAGAAGGAAGAATGGAGCGATCTCCAGGTTGCGTCCCGAGACACAGTGTCATCAAAAGTACCTTTTATAGCCACCCGTCGGAAAATCTGACCGATTTTCCCTCATCACCAGGCAAAGGGCAAAGAAAACAATTAGAAAGAGCTAAGAGATCTTACAGGAAAGCTGGATACTCAAAGTCCGCTTTAACTGGTCTGCGGGAACCCTTGCTAGAACGGTTTGAACTTGGTGAAGAAGGAGGACCGTTGGCAGATGTAGAATTGGGGAAGGGACGAGAAGGAAGTTATGGACCCCCAATCATCAAATCAGCTTCTTTTGATACTGCTCAGAAATCACCCAAGGTGACTTTCCAAGTATCCGCCAGGAGCCGTTCCTTGGATGACTACAGAATACGAGCTAGGAGCTTCGCTGAGGAGCAGGATATTGCAGAAGAAGATATGGACACCATGCCGCACGGTGTTCCGGCAGAAGGAACTCATCTGAGGGATGAAAAAACATCAGCAGCAAAAGCTAGGGAGGGTTTTTCTGAAGAGCACCCAAGGTTAGTCCTACTGGATGATAAGGAAAGATCCAAGTTGGGCCCTGAGCAGGACAAGAAGTCCTTGGTTTTGGCACAGGGCTCTGAAAAAGAGGATTTAGCTCAGAAAACAAAGGTGCCGCATTTTGTGGGAAAATCTCCTCAAGGCAGACAAGATCTGATTCTAGAAGCTCGGCAATCTAGTTTTACTTCGGGGTTGGCTCCAAAAAATGACATTGAGGAGGAGCAGGCATCCATGTCTTCTCCTCACAGGGATGGAGGAACCATTTTTCCAAAGGGGGAAAGCTCTGATTTGAGAGCGGCATCATCAGAGATCCCAAACTTGGTGTCTCGGGATAGTAAAGAGGAAAAACTGTCCCATGAGATAACCCCAAGTTCTCCCAAGAGTGTTGAAGGATGTCAACCTCAACAAAAAGAAAGTCATCATCTTCTGAAAGCTGTTCCTTTTCACATCACCCAGCTTCAGGCTGAGAAACAGCTTGCCGGTGCTCCAGACAAGAGTCCCAAAGACCTACAGACTATGGCAATGCATGAAGGCCATCCATCCTTGATTTATCCTGGGACACAAATGGTGGAGAGTAGAGGTTTAGGTGATCCTATTTTGCATGCTGACATTTGTGCCTTCTCTACCCTTGAGGATCAGCAAATTCCATCCCAGAAACCCTCAGGATCCCGCTTGGCCAAGTCAACCATGCTAGAGAAGAAAGATCTGGAGAAGTTGGACATCCCTCAAACAAAAATGAGCATACCTTCAATCTCTGAAAGTGCAAAGCAGAAGCCTTTACATCAGTTGCCTGTTGCACATCTGGAAAGGAAGCTACCTGTTTCAAAAAGCGAAGGTCCTGTTCATCCAGAAATGGTCACTCTGAGAGGAAGCCAGCACCCATCTCAACAAGAATCTCCTCTTTACAGAAGACCATCTCCTACTACCCCAAGAAGTGCTGCTGCTCTGATTCAAGCATCTCTCCAACCAGAGGCCACCTCAATACCCATACTTCATGGAGAAACCCAGATGGCCTCACTTCCAAAGTCCTCCTCTTACCCAGAAGGAGAATCTCTTCTCAGAGAGGTTCAGTGTCCTCCTCAAGCCCAACCAGATCTGATGTCCTTCTTTGAAGCTGAAAAGTATGAGCTCTACCACCACCTGCCATCTGCTCCTGGTGAGGTCCTCAAGGGCAAAGCACCTGCCGTAGCAGGTTATTCTCAAGCAAAAATGAGGCCGTTTGGAACCTCTGGAGAAAAAGTCCCCATAACTCTAAAGAAAAGACCATATTCCACTGGAGAAGGCAGAAGCGAGGATCACAAACGCTACAGGGACACAGAAGCTCAAGTTCTGGAGTTCTTAGCCGAGGAGATGGCTTATCGATCAAAAGCAACAACGCCTTGGCCAGAATCAGGACCTGTTTCACCCCAAGGTGAGATGGTCCATCAAAAGTCACCCAGCCAAGCAGTGAGACCGAAAGGCAGATATCTGGTGCGCAGAGGCAAGAGAGAAGGTGGCATTGGCCTAGCAGATCCTTCAGAAGCCGATGTTATCTATCCTGGAGAGGAAGACTATTTCAGTCTTCAGTCTTACCTGAGCAAGAAAGCAAGGATGTCTTCGCCTTATGAAGGCCAAGGCTTGGATTATCCAGGAAGTAGCCGAATGTATGAAATTGCCCTTGTGCAGATCCAGGATCTCTCGGAGATGCCTCGTCCTGACAGCAAGACCTCCAAATTTGATATCACGGAGGTGGAACCAGCTTTCCTCAACTTTTATGAACTCTATGACATTGTCTATTCTCCGTTTGAGTTCCTGAGCTTCAGGAAAGCTCCTGAGAATTTGCCCAGCAAAAGGCCATCTGACTCCAAATTTCCTTCTCAGCAGGAGAAAACAATATGTCTCAAGGAGGATGATTTGCCCGAGGTGGCCCTTAAGGAAGAGACAGGTGCCCTCAAGGTGGAGGTAGGTCTGGGACCAGTTGTGGCACCACGGATAGGGAAAAGGTCCGACTCGGAAGGTGATCTACCGACGGGGTCCCAGTACGATGTCCCATCAGATCCAACGAGGAAGAGGAAGAGTTCTCTCCAGAGTGCCTTAGGACTTTTCAAGCCAGTTGTCCGCTCTCAGTCCATGGAGCAGGTGGAACTCAGTCTGAGGAAGAGGATGAAGGCATCCGTAGCTCAGTTCTCAAAGATGTTGACCAGAAAACTGTCCAGTGAAGACACCAGAACAGGTAATGATTAGCTTCCTTGACTGACATGAGTCAAAGAAAATATAGGGAATATTTTTTTAAAAAAATCCTTCCGTAGGAGAATGAAGTTAGGACATGAGACCAAACCAGAAATGGTGCTCTAGGCATCAGAAAGGCCATTGCAGTTCCCTCTCAATGCAACTACGAACAACACAATCAGTTTCCTGATGGATTTAACTATTCTGCTCCTGTAAATATTTTTGATATGGGTTTTTATTGTTCAGAATTCTAGAATTAAAGAGAAATTTCCTGTCTATGAGAGCAATTAATTAGTGGAACGGCTTCTCTCCAGAAGTTGTGGGTGCTCCATCAAGAAGAGATTGGACAGCCATTTGTCTGGAATGATATAAAGTTTCCTTCTTGAGCAGGGGGTTGGACTAGAAGACCTCCGAGGTCCCTTCCAACTTTGTAATTTTCTATCATTTCACTTTTTTTAGGTGCCCCAGTCTACTTTAGGTGTTTCATCACAACTAAACCTCCAACATTAACATAGCCATCAGAAATGTCCACCCTACAAATATTCCCAGGATCATAACAGAAGTAGAGATATCCTGTGTGCAGAAATGGATGTTAGGGTAGACCAAGCCATAACTCAGTAGTGGGAAAGGGGAAATATATTTATTTATATGTTAAATTAAGAAATGGTGAAGAAGAACCTCAAAATAACTGGATAGAGAGAGATACTGGATAGAGAGATAACCTGGGATGCTTTTAAGAGTCTGTTGTCACATCCTACAACTATAAAGTAACATTTCTGGAATCTTTGTGGGGTCTACTTCAAGATCCCCCTCAAAAGAGTTGATAGGTAGCCTCCAATTCTGCTCTCAATCCAACTTCTAAAACAGTGGTTCTCAACCTGTGGGTCGGGACCCCATTTGGGGTCGAATGACCATTTCACGGGGGTCGCCAAACAAGGCTGATCGCCATTTCCCCCCCTTTTCTTTGGCCACACCCCTGGCACCTGGTGATGTATAAGTGGTTGGGGGTCACCACAACATGGGAACTGTATTATGGGGTCACGGCATTAGAAAGGTTGAGAACCACTGTTCTAAAAGGTCCTTCAAGATACTTGTGAAGGACATCCTGGTTAGGAGAGATCCAAAAGAGCAGCGGTCTCTAAACTTGGCAACTTTAAGACTTGTGGACTTCAACTCCCAGAATGATTGGTTGAGGAATTCTGGGAGTTGAAGTCCAGAACAAAAGAGAAAAACTTGGGTGGCTGAGCAAGTCTGGGAGTTGAAGTCCACAAGCCTCAAAGTTGCTAGGTTTGGAGATTCCTGCAAAAGAGGATGGAGCTTCAGGTCTCCTCTTACCTTTTTGGTGGCCCTCTGTTTTCTAGCCTCTGAGGAAGTCAAAAGTGAGCAAGCCGAGAGGACCTCCTTGACGGAGCCTTCCCCAACTTCTAAAAAGAAAAAGATATTCTCAGCATTCACCCTGCCAGGCCTCAAGACCAAGGACAAAGGTATCTGAACCGGGGGAGGGAGAAATGAAGGAAGGTTGGGAGGTTGGAGTAGAGGCGGGAGGGTTGAAGGGTTAGGGCAGTGGGGGCCAACCTATGGCACCCAGAGCCCTCTCTGTGCCCCGGAGATGGCAACCATCCCTCTTCAACCAGCCACCCGCTAACTCGCCGAGGTCCCACATGGCGGATGCATCCCAGCACCCATGTGCTCGCTGGTCTCTGTGTGCGGGGGCCGATGGTGTCAGGCAGCAGCCGCCCTGGCCCCTGTCTCACCTTGCCCTGCGACAATGGCACCCCCGTCCTGCCTCGCCTCACCCTGCAAAACCAGCCTCCTGCCCACCACCCCACCTGCCAGAGATCCCTGGATCTCCCCCAACCGTGCCCGGCCCCCACAGACGTCCCTCCCCACGAGCAACATCAAGGTGATCACGGCCACCTTGGCCACTCCCACCCAATCTGCCATGGCCACTGTAGCCTGCCTACCCAGCGGGCCACGCCCACCTGGCAATACATAAGTGGGTTTTGGGTTGAAGTTTGGATACTCGGTCTCTAAAAGGTTTGCCATCACTGGGTTAGGGTTTGGGTCCTGGGTTCGATCTCTGCTTTCTGCCTTTATTTTTAACCATTAACCATTAATAGTGGGAGTCTGTGGTTTAGAAATGCACTGAATAATAAATAAAAGTTTGGGAAGGAAGGGAGGGGGGAAGGAAGAAGGGAGGGAAAGTAAATAGAAAGGAAGGAAAAGTAGATTGCAAGGAAGGGAGAGAGGGAGGGAGGGAGGGAGGGAGGGAGAGAGGGAGGGAGGGAATAGCAGTATGGGAGGGAGGGAGGAAGGGAGGGAGGGAGGAAGGAAGGGAGGAAAGGAAATAGGAAAGAAGGAAAAGGAGTGACGGGAGGAAGCAAAAGGAAATAGGAAGGAAAGAAAAGGAAACTGGAAGGAAGGAAGGAAGGAAGGAAGGAAGGAAGGAAGGAAGGAAGGAAGGAAGGAAGGAAGGAAGGAAGGAAGGCATGGCAATAATAGAACCAACCCCCCAAAATCCATTGTCCTCTACATTTGGCCCCAGAAGTACTTCTGGAGAGTCTTCAAGGGCCACCCCACGTAGCAAACATTATAGTAGTCTAGCCGCAACTTCTAAAAAGGGCTGGAAGGTTCCTCTTTCAGTTCTCCCACTTCTGTACTCCGTCCCCTAATTTTTGGCATTAGTTCAGAAAGTGCAAGAGAACTTTCCTGGCTCGATTGGATGATTCCAGATTTTACTCCAGAAGTAAAACCAGCGCATAATCAGAATCAAGAAGAGCCACGGTACATAGCTAACCCTTTTCCTTTCTAGGACCTTCTTTTGTAGAAGAACTGACCGATCAGACCGTTGCCGTTGGACAGTCTCTGACCCTCTCCTGCCAGACCTCGTCCCATTCCTTCTCTGGCATCGGATGGTTCAAAGGTACCGTAGCTGCTCCTATTTATTTATTTATTTATGAGACTTATATACTGCTTTAAGTGCAAGCACTCTCTAAGCGGTGTACATCAGTAAGCAATGTATATATATATATTTACATTTCCCCCAACAATCTGGGTCCTCATTTTACCTACCCCGGAAGGATGGAAGGCTGAGTCAACCTTGAGCCGGTGAGATTTGAACCGCTGACCTGCTGAACACAGTCAGCTAAAGTGGCCTGCAGTATTGCACTCTAACTGCTGCACCACCTCGGCTCCTATCAGGCAGGTTGACAGAATCCCCCTTTTCTCCAGGCAGGTCCCTGTTCATCTCCTGGCTGCTTTTTCAAATC